TCCTAGTACATTCATCATACATTAGAAAACACTTCAATTTACATTCATCATCAATTTGCATTTAGTTATTTAATTCATTCATACTTGCATATTGATCATTAATTTAGTTAGAATTTCATCAAAACAAACATTCTCATTTTTACTGTTTCGGTTAAGGTCAAGGTAATTAGAATTAGAACTAATCAATCTTCGTGGGAACAATATTCGGACTCAAAAAGTCAACTTTATTACTTGTAACGAATTGTACACTTGCTCTACCTCACACTAGGTTGGAGAGTCAAAACCTCACATTTGGAAGGTTGAGGAGCCATTTTTTCACACTACTTGAAATGCAGGGAAAGAAGAAAGAGACGAGTGTACTGCACCTCACCCCCTGCCCACACATGCATAAATATGTAATGTGTTATATGTACATACTACTTAGTTTGTACCTTGCCGCACCAATCTTTGAAAACTTATAAGAGATTGTTTGTCATAACTTTTGATAAGAATCTTAGTAGATTTTGATTAAAAAAATAATAAAATATTTAGTTGAAAAGTTGATAATTTTTTTTATAAGAGTCACTGAGAGGTTTATTCTTGTCCAGTAACCTACGAAACTCCGTCGAATCTTTGGAGCATAGCCTTCGTATGATTGAGACATTGCCAAGGGCTCACCTTGCTTTTTCAACTCATAGCCGTAACAAAATTGACGAGGTTAGCCCTTTTTACCCTTTATACTTTGAAAAAGTTGCAAAGTGTAAGACATATTTAGAGTTATCTTTTTTATTTGAACATTTTCAAAAGACAAATGTTCTCGAATCAATTTTTCTATATAGTTTTAACTAAGTTGTGATATTTTTTTAATATAGTTTACACTCTAATTTATTTTTGTAATTTTCTTTTGCATATTATCATAAATATAGAATTAGAAATCCCCCTTTATTTTAAGTTCACCGTCCTCAATTATCCGCAATAGAGCACAGATGGCGGCCACCACCACTACAACAAATGTAACCAGAAACATAGAATAGTAGCAACAATTATAATTACATATGAGTTTTCTGAAGATAGGGCTTAGGTTTTTACATGTTTGGCTAATCTTAAAACTAAAGAAACTTATGTTACCAAAAAAATAGTATGATAATAAAATTTTCGCAACTTTTGTTCGAGTAATTATTATCTAAAAACATTAAAAAATGAATGAAAATTCAAAAAATAATGTTATTTAGCACCACTGGTCTAGGTGTAGCAGTTTTGATATTAAATACAAAGATTTATGATAGATTTAGCCTGTGTTTGACACCCGTTAAAATGCATTTTTATGTCACCTTTCAATTTTTTCTACAGTAATTCTTAATTTTTTAATCTGTCGGACAGTGTCAGTCAGTCAAAAGAAAGAGTCGTTGCAAATAAGGACCGTTATGCCCTCCACTTTATTTGACAATTTACAATTCCACCCTCAACCACTTTTTCCTCCATTGAAATCCAAATGGGCTTTTTTGGAAAGTTTTTCTACATAATTTATTACTGCGCATGGCAGGTACTCTCTTTCAGAGAATTGGTCAGTTTCATCTGATAATTGTACGAAATGTTGAAAAATTTGAGGCAAAAAAATTGGAAAAAACGGGGGCCAAACACACGCTTAATTGTCCCTCCGTCCCATAAAGAGAGGCTCGTTTCCATTTATACCCCTACACTAAATAATGGTGCAAATATGAGTATTCCTTATTAGTTAATAATAAGGTACATTAAATAAGGGCATATTAAAAAACTAAGAATTTAATTATAATCTCATAAAAAAAAGTAGCCATAATTTCAAACGAACGAACGAACAAAAAAAGAAAACGAATCTATCTTTATTGGACAGAGTAGGTAGAATATATGATATGCTAACACCGAAACTGATTTTCAATACCACTACTATTCCATAGCATTAATCAAATTTAAACTGATGTTATGAACAACGTTAAACGCTAAGTGTGTGTTAAAGAAGATACAAATATTTAATTTCTAAAAATGAAGCCAATATCTTACCCAAACATGCTAAATATTTGTTTAAGTAAAATTAATAGGAGTCGATGTCATTGGAAATAACAAAAATTAAAAATTTCATTGTTTGTGTTATGTAGATTGTTGTATAGCAAAGATATGGTAATGTTTACTGTACATACGTATGCCAATGATGGTTTACAAAAATAAAAAGGATAATTCTATGAATCATCAAAACATTGAACGAGAATTTAATAATCAAGAGATCTAAGACAGGATAAACGAGAATTTAATAATCAAGAGATCTAAGACAGGATAAACGCCGCCAACTGGGGATGTCCATGTATCGGGTTTTCAACCACCCAAATTATCAATGTCTTTACAGAGTTTGTAGAGCTGCAAAAATTATTCCTTAAAAGACAACCTTAATCAAGTAACAAGTAAAACAAACAAAGGATTGGAAATCGAAAAGACATACTAGTAAGCCACCTAAAATAATAGAATAATGCTACCTATTTTGATTGATATACGTAACAATTTAGTGACATTAAATAATAATTTCAAAAAAATATAAGAGTGACCATTGTTATACTATCTAATGAAGTTGAAATACATTTTTATTTATTGATAAATATTACAAAATTATCCAGTCCTGCCCTGAATGAGGTAAGGAATCCCCATCCTATTTGTGTTAATTGAAGCGAGCATGAGGATGGAGAAGGGGGCAAGAACCGAACCCGTCCCAACTATTATGGTTTTTATTTTTATTTTTTTATAATTGAAACCGTATCTAAAAAGATATTAAAACCTTAAATAAGTAAACAAGACAGTAAACTGAGATTTTTTTAAGGGCATTCTACTTGCCAGGATTTTTTTATTGGTCGTGGGGCCCCTCTTGTGAGGGGGCTGTACACCGAGGTGTCAACCCCGGAGTACAAATAACATTTCCCTTATTTTAATCCCTACCCATTTGTCCTCACCCTGACACCAAAACATTCTTGACGGATCACAAACGGGGAGGGTCAGTCCATCCCTATTTATCGTGTGGAGTAATCCGTTGCTGCATTGGATAGTGATCATCATCAATCCTTACAAATAGCATTGCTGGGGAATATTTGATCAATTTTAGCCTTTATTTGATTCTCATTAATTCAAAAATACATTTTTCTCTCTTATTTTTAGTCACACATTTTTCAATAAAATAGTATTATACGTAAATCCAAAGATTTTCCTTATTTTTTTCAATCTCAGTCAGATTGCTTCACTTGAAATCCCTGGATATTTTATTGTTGCACACATATCCAGAAATCTTGAGATATGAGCATTAGGATTTTCAGTAGCCCTCCCAAAGAATTGTAGTGATCTGGAACATATTGATCACATTTGTCCTCAAGTGAAAATTTGCCTGATCAAATGCCGGATACACGATACTGGATTGGATTTCCATGACATGTGGAACCATATACTCTCCAGTCAATCTAGCATTATCATTCCCTGGCACTGCAATTTGATATGCTACTTTTTCATTCGCCCCAATCGCAATTTGATTTTGATTTTGTTCTGCTATGAACTCTGCTTGCTATTTTTGGTGTGCTTCTAATTGTTTTCTTCCTCTCAGCCTGAATGTTCATTCAATTTTCAGATCAAATTGGACAAGATTATCGCGTCTCGAATTTTGCATACAAAGTCCTAAAAAGGAAAAAAAAAATAGACAACATTGTAATATTTTTTCTCCAAATTTGCCCAATTCTCTTTTTCTATGTATGCGTGTGTGTGTGTGTATATA